ATTGCCCTATTATGTCATTCATGTCCCTCGGGGACACTAGATATATCAGTACCTATTATTTCACTATTCATATGAAGTCGCGTTCCCGGGGGCGCGCCTTCCATTATTTCGTCAGAGAATATGTTATCATTGTCCTATTATGTCACTCATGTCCCTCGGGGACACTAGATATATCAGTTTGAATAACTTAAATTTAACTTCTTTTGAAAGTTCAACAAGTTAAGAATAACTTAAATTAAAACGTTATGTGAAGTTTGAATAAATTAGATAAAATGTTATGGATAAATTGAATAAATGTGAAGTGATAAGTTGATTGTGGTATTGAAATTGTATGGAATGAGCATTGAAATGTGACATTGAATAAATTGCCAATTCACCCCCCTCTTGGTTGATTCCGTCGATCGATGAACTCAACAAAAGTTGATTTTAATGTATACGTTTTAATATATATGTTAATGATAAAATCATATGTATGGATAAATTTAATTTCAATTTAAGTATTGTGAACTATAATTGGAATATAACTTTTAATTTCGAATACAATTGGAATATTAAGTTGAAATTTAATGTTAAATTTCGAATACTATAATTTATATTTTAAATTTAAATTTGAATAATATTATTTTTATTTTTATTTTAAGTTTCGAATAATATAATTTGTATTTTAAAAACATTTATCAAACATTTAATGTTAAATGTGAATAAAAAATAACATTAAAAAATATGTATGTAACAACCATGAAACATTTAAATAACATAACCAAATTACATAAAATTCTGAAATTTAATTATTTAAATAACATTAAATATAACTGGATCACCGATGTCGTCTTCTCGAATGAGTTCCACATGGCGGTGGTTGCCTATTTCGTGGAGGATTTCTTCGTGGAACTTGTTCTTCAGTCTCCTCATCTTCACTATCATCATCAGCAGCATTTTCTTCATTTGGTGTAGATGACGCTGAAGGGGCTGAAGGGCCTGTATAAAATAACGACCCTGGAGGAGTGCTAGTAATAATCCCACCGCTCCCCGGGAACTGTGGAAACTGTGGAAACATTGGCATCGATGTATGTGATCCAGATGAAGATTGAGGTGTCTGCGGAGAAGCACCACCAGCTAAATAAGATGCATATGAACCATATGCTGGATCATTAAACATAGTCGTATATGCACCTCCATATGGTATAAAACCCTGCGGGCTAGGCATGTAACCTGGCGGGCTAGGAATGTAACCCTGCGGGCTCGGAATGTAACCCTGCGGAGATGGCATATAAACTGGTGGGCTTGGCATATGAAGTGGAGGGCTGGGCATGTACCCTTGCGGCATCGACGAATAAGGATGTTGTGGTGGGACTGATGCAGAACCGGTAGCGCCTTCTCTCCGTCCACGCGTCGGGGGACGATGATATTGAGACGGTTGACGTCTTTCTCGGCGCCTAGGAATGTTAACCCCTCGTGCTTCCGCCGAAAGTAGAAACGGCTTCCCATTTTCATTAAACCAGTCCATATAGTTATCCGTAACCATATGACCAGTTTCAGCGTAATATTGTCGAGGGGCCAACAGTGTATATCGGTTCTCCCAAAGCGCAATCCAATCTCTGTGTCTCACCACCCAGTTAACATCTTTCTTTCCCCGTCTATCTATGTTATGCACGTCGTCTAAATTTCTAGGAGCTCCAGGAATATATTGCGTACAACCATACTGGCGGAGCACGCGATCAACTGGATGCCACTCAATAATAGCATAACATATAAGAGGTATAACCGATATCCATACCTCTAATGACCCACTAAGGTGGGGTGGGATGCAAGCTTTCACTTCATCGCTCGCATAAGGTATCCACTGAAACTGAAATAAATATACAATTCAAATAAATAAAATATTCTAATTATATCTAACATTTTAAATTAAAATATTAATAATTAAACAAATTTAAAAACATACCTCAGACCCAGCTTTCGTATCAATAAGTAAACGAATTTCCTCTAACCCAGTAAGTATACTTTTATGGTCCTTTCTTTTCATCGACCACCTATGAAATATAATATAAACTAAATATCACCCTATTTAATTGAAAATATTTAAATCAAAATTTAGTTCGAAAATTACCTCAACAATAAGGGGAATACGTATGGTTCATTCACGATCGGGCATAAGAAAGGCATGCGGAACCACGCCCATGATTGTAGAAGCAGAAGACATCCACCGATAGCAGTTTTCTTATAATTCGTCGCCCGACACATTTCTCTAAAGAGAAATGCCAAAACTGCAGCACCCCAACTATATCTTCCAGCTTCATCAAAATCGATCAGATGCCGCAACCACATACAATGCACCTGGTTGCGAGATTTGTCGGGCATCAATATTCCTCCAATTATTCGTAGAATATATGCCCGAGCACATGCCTTTGCTTGATCCTCTGAAGCATTTTCATTTAAAACCTCAAAATTAGCTTTCAACCAAGATAAAGCTATTCTACCTCCATTAAACTCTAGCGGAGCAGCTCCAAGATAATCAATGCACATTGATTGCCAATCATCATCCGTCATACCACACATCATATTTCCGTCGACGGGAAGCCCCAGATGCATAGAGACATCCTCCAATATAATTGTTACCTCTCCACATGGAAGGTGAAAAGTGTGTGTCTCGGGCCTCCACCTCTCAATCAGTGCAGAAATTAGGACAGGTTCGAGTTTGAAACCGCCTATAATTAAACTCTGGCGGAGCAGCTCCAAGATAATCAATGCACATTGATTGCCAATCACCATCCGCCATACCACACATCATATTTCCGTCGACGGGAAGCCCCAGATGCATAGAGACATCCTCCAATGTAATTGTTGCCTCTCCACATGGAAGGTGAAAAGTGTGTGTCTCGGGCCTCCACCTCTCAATCAGTGTAGAAATTAGGACAGGTTCGAGTTTGCAACCGCCTATAATTGTTGCAATATACCCGAACCCGGCAGAAGCCAAATATGGCAAAATACGTTCCGGTGTCGGTATACGTGGATTTTTAATAAAAGTTTCTAAAATACGATCAGCATCCTAAATAATATATATTATAAAAAATAAAAATTAATATAAATTCATAATAACTTTAAAATAAAAATAAATTTAAATATTAACATTAATTATAAAAAATATTACCATATCGCTAAAATGTCTGGAGATATGATCAATATCCAATCGCAACAGCATTTCGTTTTCCATTATAACTGTAGACAAAACAATATAACTAGCAAAAAAAATTAATAATTCTAAATAAATAATAATTATATAAATATTATTTTAATAAAAAATAATATTTACATAAATATATTAATATAAAAATAATAACTATTTAAAAAAATACTAACATAAAAATAAATTTCTTACCACTAATAACAAATTTAAAACTCAAATAGTTGGAGAATTTGAGTTATATAAGAGAGGAGAAGATGATTTTGGTGTGAAGAATGAGTGAGGGTTGAGGGGGTTTATATAGGGGAGGAGGAGGGGTAGTTAGGAAAAACGGATGGGGGCATTTATGACATTTAATGGAAGGCGCGTCCCCGGGGATGCGCTTTCCACACGTGTCTGCTGATATGGCAAAGGCGCGTCCCCGGGGACGCGCCTTTCACACGTGGCATCCAACTCAGCGAAAACACGGGTAAAGCGCGTCCCCGGGGACGCGCCTTTGCCAACTCAGCAGAAAAGGTGCTAATTTTGAAAATATTGATCAAACGGTGTTAGAAAGGTAAAATTAAAAACAAACGGTGTCAGTGTAATTTAGCCTAATTCTATCAACTGATTTATCGATTGTTAATTTGATGGGATGTAGGATCGTGGCGGGCTTTGACTTAGCAATGTGTGCTCTTAGTTGAGTATTGATAGTGCATTGAGTTAGTAATTGTTTGTTGAGGGTGAATTAGGATGGTGTTGGTGGTGAGCTTTTAAAGTCCGTGACAATAATAATGATAATATATCATCAGACTATACCACAGAAATAAAAGACAGGAAAAGTCACATCCATCAGACTATTAGAGGTGGCCAGTAACATTCAGATGGAAAATATCACAACAATTGGATCAAATTACAATTCTTGTGATATTTCTGTCAGCAATTGGTTCAAATAAAGTGATTTAGTATCAATAATTTTTAAAGGTGTAATGATAAAATTAGCTCGAAATATTTATTAAAATAATTATTTTGGTCTTTAGTGTTTTATTTTTGGATAAAAATGTCCCTTTATAGATAAAAATTGTTATTTAACACACTATTAAAACTCTAAATAGAAGTCTATTTACCCTAAAATAAAATATTGAAGATTAAAATATCCTTAAAAAAAGAATAAATGTGAATGTGACTATTATGTCAAATATTAATTGTCTTTTTATCTTAAAATGAAACGTCACATACCAAAATACTAAAAAGAAAGGAAACAAAATAATCATTTTAAAAAAGGTTGAAATTTTTTTATATTATATCATTTTAAAATGTAAATTTAGAAACTTGAATCCAAACAAATAAAGTGAGGAATCTAATTATTTTTTAAGAACAAATAATATATAAGTAAAACTAGGGTTTCACTCCATCCCATCCAATTTAGTTATTCAAATTGCAACTATTGCAATTATATCATATTTTAAATCAGATATAAATCATCCACCCCTCAATCACCACATTCATCAATTGGATTAAATACAAATTTTGTTTTAAGATATAAATCAAATTTTAAATTAGATGAAACCTTTCTAAATTAAGATCAGGTTGAGTATACGTTTTCACTCAAAATCATATCATATATTGATTATGATGAAATTTTTCTAAACTTAAATTAAATGCTGGTAGAAAAATATTATAATCAAATATAATTTGTGTGAATCAAAAGCTCGACCCGATCTATTTTCACTATTGATAATATCACTCAAAATTCAAATATTTTAAACGTGGAATGATCACATCCACCTAATTGCAATTATTGCAGCGTTCTTATCTGTTGTCATTGAGAACCAGCTGGAGAGAGGTTGAAAAGATAAAAACCACACAATCGGGAGCGAGTTCACTCATCAACATTTTCAAAACTTGTGCAAGTGCAAGACATGGAAGGTGTTCGATGCATTTCCAGTACTTTGATCCAAGCATCATCGACTCACAAAGAAGAAAACCAGAGGGTCGAGTTAACTCCATGGGATCTTTGTTTGCTTCTACTTGGCCCCATCCAGAAGGGACTTCTTTTCGAAGATGGCGAAATTAGTGACGGAAACACCTTCGTCGACTCCTTAAAAGTTTCCTTATCCCGCACATTGCACCACTTTCCGCCTCTAGCAGGTCGGCTAGCCACCGTCGAACACGACGACGAAACGGTTTCGTTTTACGTTGATTGCAATAACGCAGGAACGTTATTCGTCCATGCCAAAGCCGATGGAGTAACCGTTTCCGACGTCGCTGAATCCGTTTATGTCCCCTCCATTGTCAATTCGTTCTTCCCACTTAATGGTCTACCGAATTACAATGGAATCACCCAGCCGCTACTTGGCGTGCAAGTCACGAAGCTCGTTGATGGCGTCTTCGTCGGTTGTACCATCAATCATTCCGTGGTCGATGGGACATCGTTCTGGCATTTCATCAATTCATGGTCGGAAATCTCGAGAGGTTCGATTCGCTTATCGAAGCTCCCGATCTTTCAACGTTCGTTTGCTTTTAATTTCGATTATCCCATTCGGATTCCTCGACCTTCGGTCGGAGAATTCCGTGAAGATGGGATAGTTCAACCTCCTTTGTTGCAAAGAGTTTTTCATTTCTCAAAGAAAAATATTGCGAAACTCAAAGCAAAAGCTAACGCCGAGGTCAGAGCCAACAACATCTCATCTCTTCAAGCACTTCTATCTCATCTTTGGCTATTTATCATCCGCAACAAAAGATTAAACCCTGACGAAGATGTCAATTTCGGCCTAATGATCGGCGCGAGGCCGAGATTGCGCGATTTACCGGAACGTTATTTCGGAAATGCATCAAAGGTTGGAAGAATAACCATGAAAGCAAAGGAAGTGCAAGAACAAAGCGTGGGAGGCATAGCATTGGAAATGAACAAAATGATTGCTACACACACCGAAGAAGAGTTAAGAAGGGACTTCGAGTCTTGGATAGCAAGTCCGAAATTGGCAACAATGGCGTCGCTCGTGAGTAATTTAACTGCCATGAGTAGTTCACCTTGGTTTGACGTGTACGGAAACGACTTCGGATGGGGAAGGCCGATCTCCGTAAGAAGCGGGTTAGGGAACAAATTTGATGGGAAGTTAACTGTGTTTTGTGGTGTGGAAGAAGGGAGTATTGATGTTGAAGCATGCCTTTCGGCTGAGACCTTGGAAGCCATGGCCAATGATGATGAATTCATGGATAAGGTCACCATTTAACATTATATGTAATGCAATGTATGCTTATATGTAATATGAACGCCTTTTCTTTCTTAATGGTACATGGTGATCACACAGCGGTGACGCAGCTGTTCCAATCTAGATATGCTGAGAACAACACTCTCATTTATCACTAAGATAACTTAATAAATGTGTTTTATCGTTATTTTTTTTTTAGAAAATTATTTTCATGATTTTTCGTAAGTGTTCGTTACTAAGCAGTGTTTGTTACATTAATGAGGATGAAATTGAAGAAAAAAAATTGGAAAAGATCGATGAATGAATGGATATGAAGAATAAGGAAGAAAGTTGTCTAGAAATAACATTTTCTTTTAGAAGTTTGTTACATTTTGTTCGGACAGTTCACAATTTCAGCTTGTTTATAACAAAGTCACAGCCGCTCATCAACGCCGTTCACCATCCGGCCATCTTCCGGCCACCAGGCCTCCTTTCTCACACGTTGACCTTGCTGAAATGGTGCCTCGCGTCTCTCTGAAGAATCCTGAACGACATTACCGAGCCATTGATGTGTATCTTAAGGTGAAAAACTTGCCAAAGTTCCATAATTTAGAAGTTCTGAAGAATAAAAAGTTAAATCTTACATGAGATAAGAAAAGAGAACGATGATAATTTATATACTATCTTTCTTTTTTCATCTTTGTTGAACATTGATGAGCATGTCTCTCTCACGCTGTTGCTGTCGATCGATCCGTGATTCACGAACTGCATGCCTATGGTCTTTTTGGAAAGAAAAATCTGGATGATTTTCTAAATGTTTTAAGCTTATAATGAGAAAACTTCTCTGATAGGCTGATTTTTTGTGTGTGAACGTTTCAGTATCTCTTACTGAAATTTTGAGTCCATTAATCAAAATTATTATGATATTTTTTGGGTGTATAAAATTCTAAATGATCATGTTAACTCCAAGTGCAACATTTATTTCGAAGATTACACTAATCATGACGATATTTATTTCTAAGACAATGATTCTTTCTTATCATGATCAAGTTATACTTTATTTCGATTATCAACTTGTTTTTACAGTAATAGCATTATATTTAACAACAACATCAGTTTCAAAGCAATATCAATTTAGATGAACAAATGATTGTCATCATTAACCTCAATCTGCTAGACCATAAATATCAATCAAATAAACTGGTTCATAGAAGACAACAACTGGTTCCAAAACTGAAAAAATGAGAAACCAAACCTTGCTATATTCAGTCAGCTCTTGTTCTGTCCGTTTTTCACGTGTAATGTCAGCATTATTTGGGGTAAGTAGTCAAAATAAGATCAGTTCTTCACGTGCTGTGGCAGTGGATACATGATTTTGTTGTATTATATGTGTCCTCAAGCTGCAGTCTTTAACCTGAAGAAAAGATTCATTCCAATAAGCCATATGAGCGGATAATATTAGGTAGTATATGTTTAGTATCCAATAATTACTTTTGTTCCATTTTAATCACTTAATTATTTTTGTTTTAAAATTATATCTAATGTTACGTTTTAGTTTTATTTTGGTCATCTCGCAATTAAAATGTAATAGAACTACCGACGTGGTATTATTTAAACTTTTTCAATGATAATGTAATATTACTTTATGATAGATATGTCAATATCACAGTTAATTTTCCAACAATGAAGGACAAAAATGACTCAAATCTGTCTTACAGGAAACAAAGATGATTAAAACATCATTACTTGATCTATGCTCACATGAAATAGCCCAAACAATCAACATTATAGTGACACAAACACAAGGTACCACAGTTCCCATGGCAACACTTACACAATGTAAACAAGTAATGCAACAGCAATGCTAGTTTTCGAACATCGAAACCCGGCCTCGAAGCTGAGACCTAACCATAATTAGAATCAAATGACAAAATAAGAATGAAAAGCTTCCCTGTTTTTGCTCAAAATGCATAAAGAACTATCTCAAGACTAATGAAATAGTATGATTACTTCATTGAGAAACAAGAAAGCCATTTGCAACACATGAGATTAAAATCATAGAAATGTCAATTAAGTAAATTACAGACAGAATAAAAGATTATATTAAATTATTACATAATAAAAGAAATTGTGCTATACAAATTGAAACCAACCTTGAATCCAGAATGTAACAACCCGGAATAAAATTTAGAGAAAAAAAAAATTTAATTAAGTAATTTGGCAAAATTTGAGGATTAAATCGAAAGTTTTCAAAATTTTAGGCCATTTTAGAAGTTAAAGGAAATTTAGGGACCAAGCCCTGCATTACTCCTTTTAGTGTCGGCAGAAAATTTCATTTAAGCGTATGAATGGTTTTCTGTTTTCAAAACAGAAAACAATTGTGAAATTCCTCCTCCCGCACTCTACTTCAAAGCCGATTCCGACGCCGTCCGAATTCCGATCGTTGTTTTGAAACCACCGTTGTGTTCATCATCGAGCGAGGAACAAACCCTTCAAATTAATTGAAGCGAAACGCGGCCAAACGTCGGGAATTTCCAGTCAAAGTAGCGACGGTTTTGTTAGCTCTATCGCCGAGGAAATCTTAAATTCACCGCTGATCGTTGCTCCGTTTACGACACCTCCCGCACCATCGTGTTCCTTGTGCCGTTCCGAGTTCACCGGTGTCAACCTTGTCCGCCGTAGACGGCGGCGCGTGAGGAGGTGGTGCAGTCAAAGATTCGGCCGATTTGAAATCGAGCTCTCCGCCGTTCAAAAATTTGAACCGATCGTTGTAAGTATCTTGAAATCGCTCAAAATAATTTTTAGAAATTTTTCCGGGATTTTTAGGGCCCCGGAGGACGCCTCACGCGCCACACGCGCCGCCGCAGGGCGAGTGGCTGCTGGAAACCGGTTTAACCGGTTTTCAACCGGTTCTGACCGGTTTGACCGGTTTCAACCGGTTCGAACCGGTTTGACCGGTCTGAATCGGTTTGATCGGTCTGACCCGACCCGACCGTTGACCCGACCCGACCCGACCGTTGACCCGACCCGACCGTTGACCGTTGACCATTGACTTTCTTTGACCAAAACTTAAAATGGCTTTGACCGAGCATTAAACGACCGTTAATCTTTTCCGAGTATACCTATCCTGATAGTTTTCGACGTGCCAAATCCGTTTCCGTGGTCCGTTTTGTCAAATTCGAATCCAAAGGTCTCCAAATCTACGGTCAAAGTGGTTGACTTTGACTTTGACCAAGAATTTGAATTTTTGAAAAGTCATACTTTATGTTTTTCGACGCCCTGATTCCGATTCCGTAATCCGTTTGGCCAAATTCAGACTCGAAATACCTCAAATTGATAGTCAAACCCTAAAAATGCGTATATACTTAAGAAGTTTAGCTTTGAACAATTAAATAGGATTTGAGAGTGATAAATATTATTGTTTGAAGGTACAAGAGACTCTCTGGATCGTTCGACAGCTCGACCCAGCTCTTCTAGATCAGTTAAACCACGTGTGCCAGTATTTACCCGTTCGAAAACTGTAGCAGAGCGTGGTGAAACCAGCAATCAGTAGATTTGTTATTTGAATCTATTGTCGAGGTGTGTTCCCTACTTGTTATTGAACTGTTTTATTGGTTTTAATACGTGGTACACCGAATTCATTGGCTATTGTTTTATGGATGCACCAATTTAATGTGACAATTTATGGAATATGGCTGCTATCTAATTTTTGTTTTGAAATGGTATATGATTACCATGTTTTTGGATTTATGGAGTTTATGTCACGGTGCAATTGAATTTTGGAATTGAAATACGATGGAATAGCTCTGATCAAGCTAACTGGGCCTAATGTGACTCTTGAGGGCCCCAAGATGTTTCATTAGGTCGGCTTTCCTTTGCTGTGTGCTTAGGGTAAGCTATATGGACTTATTGACTTGGGCTTAAGGATACAAGCTTCAGAGCCTATCCTTAAGTCGGCTTTCTTTTTGCTATGTGCATAAATTAAGCTATATGGAAATAATTTTGGGAACTACTGATGGTGTACCAGAAAATGGTTTAAACTATGATTTTCAAAAAGTTAAACTCTTTTACGAATTTGTGAGATTACTGGAATATGATTTGTACCTATTGTGATTTTATGGAAATGTTGGGACACACTGAGCCTAGCTCACCTTTTGAAAATGTTTTCCCCTTTAAGATACTGTTGGGTAGATACCTTGGTTCGAGCACTTGGAGGATCAACATATCTCTTGAAGTAAATCAGATTGTAATGTTTTTATCTGGCAAGTTTACTTTATTTTGGTGACATGGACCTTATTTTAAAATATCGGATTTTATAATGATAACACTTTTGCTACTACTGCTCGGTTCATTGCGATTTTGAATTTGAAGACATGTTTTAAATTAAATTATTATTTATTTGTACTATATTTACAAGTTGGATTTTGATAGTATAAATTGTTTATAATTTCATGTTTTTATAATGTGATTTTATATTGATGGAATAACGGTTGCGAAAAATGTCTTTAATAATTATAATGTGATCCACTAGACTTAGTCGAAACGCATAGGCCGGGTCTAGGGGGTTACATTTATTGGTATCAGAGCTTTTGGTTTTTAACCCTCGGACTGTGTATGAGTCCACATTGAAAATACGGTTTTGAAATATTTTACAAAACGAGTTACTAAGGCCATGTCACAAAGTTATTAAGATTTTAACTATGTTTGAGACTCCAAGTGCTTATCTAACCCTAAGTTTTATCTTCTGTAGTAAACTTGAGATCCATCAAAATGAGTGCTAGACGTAGTCGTCGAACTAGCCGTGGACGAGGTCGAGTGGCTAGATTCGCAGATCCGATCGATGAGATACGGGTAGATCCCCCACCTCCGATAGGTGATCATGCTCCTACGACCCCAACGGATCTGCCTCCTGCCGCTGGTATTGGCATGACTACACCGATAATAGGAGCGACCGATATTGAGTTAGAGTCTACCGGAGTTGCTTTGGATGAGAATTTTGGTAGACAATTTCTGCAGTTAATACAGGGAGCAGTCAGAGCTACTGGTGTTGTATCTGAGGTTCCTATTTCGCAGACTTTGATTGCCAATGGAGTTAGAACTTTTGGGGGACAGATAGGTGGAGCTCCTACTGAAGCTGAGGATTGGCTCCAGGATACAGAGAGACGCATGGATCAGTTGGGTTTGGACTCAATTAAGAGATATCAGGGTGCTGTGGCGATGTTAGATGGCAATGCCTACACTTGGTGGGAGTCAGTGACCAGTAGTGTTCCTACCGATCGTTTGACCTAGAATTTCTTTAAGGATCGCTTTCGGAGCCGTTTTCTGGGAGAGCGCTACTTAGCTCAGAGACGACAACAGTTTCAAGACCTGGTTCAGGGAGACATGACTGTTTCTGAATATGAGATCGAGTTCCTGAAATTGCTGAAGTATGGATTCAGTATGGTACCTACGGAGAGAGATCGATGTCGTAAATTTGCCCTTGGACTCAGATACGAGCTGCGTAGGCAAGTTGTAACCCATCAGGATGAGATATTTGATGTGCTGGTGGGCAGAGCCAAAGATGCGGAAGAGGTGGAGTTTTTAGCTTCTGGTAGAGAGCGTGTTGATCAAGATCGATCTAAGAAATTTTCAGGCCCGATGGAGTCATCAGCACAGTCCGGAAAGAGGACTCGTACTTCAGCTCCTCAGAGAAGCAATACACGTTTCAGGCCTGCAGCATCCTCACCTTTAGCTGTCAGTCGAGGCGGTTCCTCGTCGTATTATAATGGGCCCCTTTGTGAGTATTGTGGTAAACAACACTCAGGAGAGTGTCGTAAGAAGATGGGTCTTTGCTATCAGTGTGGATCTAGTGGTCATTATCGGAGGGATTGTCCTCAGTTAGTTTCGTTTGAGCAGACCACTACCCAAACTCCTGTGCGTTCGCAGACTACAGTACAGACCCCAATTAGAGATCGTAGTCAAGGAAAGACTCGAGGATCAGCGTCCAGGACAGACAGTAGAGCCCGACCTCAGCAAAATAGAGGGCCAACAGCTTCTGAGGCTAGACAGCCAGCTTTGGTTTATGCAACTAGACGTCGTGATGACAGAGATGAGCCTGAGGTTATTGCAGGTACATTTACTATTTATTCTATCCCATACTTTGCATTACTGGACAATGGCTCCACTCACTCCTATGTATCGAGCTCAGTATCTCGAAACCTTCAGATTCCGATAGAGAACACTGAAAATACTGTTACAGTTACGAGTCCAGTAGGACAAGCAGTATTAGTGAATAAAGTATTTCGGCGTTGCCCTCTCGAGGTTCAGGGAGAAATTTTTCTCGCTGATCTTATGGAGCTTCCTCTAGAGGAGTTTGATCTAATTCTTGGAATAGATTGGTTGAATAAACACAAGGTAAAGCTGGATTGCGAATACAAGCGGGCTACTCTGAAGACTTCAGATGGTCGGACTGTTGTGTTAATTGGGGAACGGCGTGGCTATCTCTCCAATATAGTTTCAGCGATGGAAATTGATCGTATGATCCGAAAGGGATATGAGACCTTCATTGCTTGTATTTTGAACACCAAAGGTGCATTGTCCACGATCGAGGAGATTCGTACAGTTAGCGAGTTTCCTGATGTTTTTCCGGAGGAGTTGCCTGGGTTACCTCCTGATAGAGAGGTAGAGTTCGAGATTGAGACTTATCCAGGATCTTCACCTATTTCTATTGCACCTTATCGTATGGCTCCAAAGGAACTTAAGGAGTTGAAAGTCCAATTGCAAGAATTATTCGATCGAGGATTTATCCGACATAGTACTTCACCATGGGAGCTCCAGTTCTATTCGTGAAAAGAAGGATGGGTCGCTAAGATTATGTATTGACTATCGGAAATTGAACAAGATGACGGTCAAGAATAAATACCCATTACCCAGGATAGATGACTTATTTGATCAATTGCGAGGAGCTACTGTATTCTCTAAGATTGATCTTCGTTCGGGGTATTATCAATTGAAAGTTAAAGGATCTGATGTTGCAAAAACGGCCATTCGCACTAGATATGGTCATTATGAATTTTTAGTGATGCCTTTTGGTTTGACGAACGCTCCTGCAGCTTTTATGGATTTGATGAATCGGGTGTTCCGACCATATTTGGATCAATTTGTGGTGGTCTTCATTGACGATATTCTGATCTATTCTCGTATGGAGGCAGAGCATGACGAGCATTTGAAGATCGTTCTGCGGACTTTGAGAGAGCATCGTCTATATGCCAAACTAAGCAAGTGTGAGTTTTGGCTTCAAGAAGTGTCATTTCTGGGGCATATTATTTCTGCGCGAGGTGTTCAGGTTGATCCCAGCAAGATAGAGGCTATTATGAATTGGAAACGACCTAAGAACGTATCTGAAATCCGCAGTTTCTTGGGCTTGGCTGGTTATTATCGACGTTTTGTTGAGGGCTTTTCGATCATTGCTTCTCCTTTGACAAAGTTGTTAAGGAAGAATGTGTCGTTTGACTGGGTTGAGGCACAACAGGAGAGCTTTGGGAAATTAAAGGCGGTTTTGACTCAAGCACCGGTGTTGATTCAACCACAGTCCGGGAAGGATTTTACAGTGTATAGTGATGCTTCACATTCAGGACTTGGTTGTGTTTTAATGCAGGAAAGTAAGGTGGTGGCTTATGCATCCCGTCAGCTGCGACCGCATGAGTGTAATTATCCTACTCACGATTTAGAGTTGGCAGCAGTAATTTTTGCCTTGAAGATATGGAGACACTATCTTTATGGAGAGAAGTGTTACATTTTCACAGATCATAAGAGCTTAAAGTATCTTCTGACCCAGAAGGAACTTAATTTGAGACAGCATCGCTGGTTAGAGCTTCTAAAGGATTATGATTGCGTGATTGATTACCACCCTGGTAAAGCTAACATTGTAGCAGATGCTTTGAGTCGAAAGACGGTATCGGAGTTGAGGTCTTTAATGGCCAAGATGAATTTATATGACGATGGCACTTTGTTAGCAGAATTGCAAGTTAAGCCGACCTTGGTTGATGAGATCAAAGCTAAGCAGCCCTTGATAGCTCCTTGCTTTCCATCTTTGAGCAAGTAGAGCAGGGGACAAACACAGATTACGCAATTGATCAGGATGAAGTTTTATGCTTTAAAGGTAGATATTGTGTGCCTGATGACGCTGAATTGAGGCAGACTATCCTTACTGAGGCTCACAGTAGTCCATATGCTATGCACCCCGGAGGAGATAAGATGTACCGAAATTTGAGAGAGAGGTATTATTGGACTGGTATGAAGAAAGACATATCTGACTTTGTGGCTAGGTGTTTGACTTGTCAGCAAGTTAAGGCAGAACATCAACATCCATCAGGTTTGTTACAGCCTATCAAGATTCCTGAATGGAAATGGGAGCGTATTACTATGGATTTTGTTACTGGCTTGCCTATGACTCCTTTGAAAAAAAATTCAGTTTGGGTGATTGTTGACAGACTTACAAAGTCAGCTCACTTCATTCCTGTGCGAGTAAATTATACTTTGGATAAGCTGGCAAGATTGTATATTTCAGAGATTGTCAGATTGCATGGTATTCCATTGTCTATTATTTCTGATCGAGATCCGAGATTTACTTCGAGATTTTGGAAGGCGTTACATACGGCTTTGGGAACAAGATTGGATTATAGTACATCCTTTCATCCACAAACTGATGGTCAATCTGAGAGAGTAATTCAGATTCTGGAGGATATGTTGCGGGGTTGCGTAATCGATTTTCATGGTAGTTGGGAGAACTTTTTGCCGTTGGCTGAATTTGCTTACAATAACAGTTATCAGACCAGTATTCGTATGGCACCCTATGAAGCACTCTATGGGCGTAAATGTCGCACTCCGATCTGTTGGACTGAGTTGCGTGATAGGAAAACGTTGGGACCTGAGTTAGTGCGAGAGATGGAGGACACAGTCAGATTAATCCGTGACCGTCTGAAAGAGGCATTTGATAGGCAGAAATCTTATGCAGATCAAAGAAGGAAGGATATACAGTTTGAAGTGGGAGATCGGGTCTTTTTGAAAGTTTCACCCTGGAAGAAAGTATTGAGATTCGGGCGTAAGGGTAAATTAAGTCCAAGATTTATTGGACCATTTCGTATCTTGAAGAGGGTAGGACCTGTAGCATATCAGCTTGAGTTGCCTTCTGAGTTAAGTCGTATTCATGATGTTTTTCATGTATCAATGTTGAGGAGATACCGTCCAGATCCAGGTCACATTATTCAGGTTGAAGAAGTAGAGCTAAGACCTGATTTGTCATATGAGGAGGAGCCCATTCAGATTTTAGAAAGAGATGAAAGAGTTCTTCGGAATAGGCGAATTCCAATGGTCAAAGTTCAGTGGAGTAATCGAGGCCCCTCAGAAGCTACTTGGGAGACATTGGAGTCAATGGAGGCTCAGTTTCCTCAACTATTCTCATAAGGTAAATTTCGAGGACGAAATTTCTTGTAGAGGGGGAGAATTGTAACAACCCGGAATAAAATTTAGAGAAAAAAAAATTTAATTAAGTAATTTGGCAAAATTTGAGGATTAAATCGAAAGTTTTCAAAATTTTAGGCCATTTTAGAAGTTAAAGGAAATTTAGGGACCAAGCCCTGCATTACTCCTTTTAGTGTCGGCAGAAAATTTCATTTAAGCGTATGAATGGTTTTCTGTTTTCAAAACAGAAAACAATTGTGAAATTCCTCCTCCCGCACTCTACTTCAAAGCCGATTCCGACGCCGTCCGAATTCCGATCGTTGTTTTGAAACCACCGTTGTGTTCATCATCGAGCGAGGAACAAACCCTTCAAATTAATTGAAGCGAAACGCGGCCAAACGTCGGGAATTTCCAGTCAAAGTAGCGACGGTTTTGTTAGCTCTATCGCCGAGGAAATCTTAAATTCACCGCTGATCGTTGCTCCGTTTACGACACCTCCCGCACCATCGTGTTCCTTGTGCCGTTCCGAGTTCACCGGTGTCAACCTTGTCCGCCGTAGACGGCGGCGCGTGAGGAGGTGGTGCAGTCAAAGATTCGGCCGATTTGAAATCGAGCTCTCCGCCGTTCAAAAATTTGAACCGATCGTTGTAAGTATCTTGAAATCGCTCAAAATAATTTTTAGAAATTTTTCCGGGATTTTTAGGGCCCCGGAGGACGCCTCACGCGCCACACGCGCCGCCGCAGGGCGAGTGGCTGCTGGAAACCGGTTTAACCGGTTTTCAACCGGTTCTGACCGGTTTGACCGGTTTCAACCGGTTCGAACCGGTTTGACCGGTCTGAATCGGTTTGATCGGTCTGACCCGACCCGACCGTTGACCCGACCCGACCCGACCGTTGACCCGACCCGACCGTTGACCGTTGACCGTTGACCATTGACTTTCTTTGACCAAAACTTAAAATGGCTTTGACCGAGCATTAAACGACCGTTAATCTTTTCCGAGTATACCTATCCTGATAGTTTTCGACGTGCCGAATCCGTTTCCGTGGTCCGTTTTGTCAAATTCGAATCCAAAGGTCTCCAAATCTACGGTCAAAGTGGTTGACTTTGACTTTGACCAAGAATTTGAATTTTCGAAAAGTCATACTTTATGTTTTTCGACGCCCTGATTCCGATTCCGTAATCCGTTTGGCCAAATTCAGACTCGAAATACCTCAAATTGATAGTCAAACCCTAAAAATGCGTATATACTTAAGAAGTTTAGCTTTGAACAATTAAATAGGATTTGAGACTGATAAATATTATTGTTTGAAGGTACAAGAGACTCTCCGGATCGTTCGACAGCTCGACCCAGCTCTTCTAGATCAATTAAACCACGTGTGCCAGTATTTACCCGTTCGAAAACTGTAGCAGAGCGTGGTGAAACCAGCAATCAGTAGATTTGTTATTTGAATCTATTGTCGAGGTGTGTTCCCTACTTGTTATTGAACTGTTTTATTGGTTTTAATACGTGGTACACCGAATTCATTGGCTATTGTTTTATGGATGCACCAATTTAATGTGACAATTTATGGAATATGGCTGCTATCTAATTTTTGTTTTGAAATGGTATATGATTACCATGTTTTTGGATTTATGGAGTTTATGTCACGGTGCAATTGAATTTTGGAATTGAAATACGATGGAATAGCTCTGATCAAGCTAACTGGGCCTAATGTGACTCTTGAGGGCCCCAAGATGTTTCATTAGGTCGGCTTTCCTTTGCTGTGTGCTTAGGGTAAGCTATATGGACTTATTGACTTGGGCTTAAGGATACAAGCTTCAGAGCCTATCCTTAAGTCGGCTTTCTTTTTGCTATGTGCATAAATTAAGCTATATGGAAATAATTTTGGGAACTACTGATGGTGTACCAGAAAAGGGTTTAAACTATGATTTTCAAAAAGTTAAACTCTTTTACGAATTTGTGAGATTACTGGAATATGATTTGTACCTATTGTGATTTTATGGAAATGTTGGGACACACTGAGCCTAGCTCACCTTTTGAAAATGTTTTCCCCTTTCAGATACTGTTGGGTAGATACCTTGGTTCGAGCACTTGGAGGATCAACATATCTCTTGAAGTAAATCAGATTGTAATGTTTTTATCTGGCAAGTTTACTTTATTTTGGTGACATGGACCTTATTTTAAAATATCGGATTTTATAATGATAACACTTTTGCTACTACTGCTCGGTTCATTGTGATTTTGAATTTGAAGACATGTTTTAAATTAAATTATTATTTATTTGTACTATATTTACAAGTTGGATTTTGATAGTATAAATTGTTTATAATTTCATGTTTTTATAATGTGATTTTATATTGATGGAATAACGGTTGCGAAAAATGTCTTTAATAATTATAATGTGATCCACTAGACTTAGTCGAAACGCATAGGCCGGGTCTAGGGGGTTACACAGAATTTAGATTAATCTGTTAATACAGTCATCTTTAATAAATGACATTCCACAATTCTAAACTTTAAATTTCAATATTCATTTCTCTATTTTCAAGCTACAACGATGCAGTTATTTGTAGAGTTCGTGTTTTGGCTGTTTAATTTTTTTCCAACCACCATTAATCATCCAAATTGATAGACCTCTACCACCCCTTCATTGCACCGCAGTCATTGACCTGATACCACGAAACAAATAAATAAATAAAAACACAGGGTTCAGGTGGATAGTGCTCTTCCAATATGTCTATGTAGTCAGAGATCAAAATGCTTTGTCGTAGTTCCTTGCAAATCACAGGCACGCTGCTCGCAATCTAGCTTGCCCCACCTTGCATCCACTCGCTCACACGGGAATATCAATTTTCCGAGGCTGTTGGAAACAACTGGTGTCAACTAACTGTAACAAAGCTCTAGAAAAAGGCCAATCTAATACGGCGCAGAGCTTAAGGCACAATCTTATGTTCAAACTAATATGAACACTAGGGCACCAATATACATCCGCATAAGCAAGTATGCTTATTGACATGCAATCAAGAGCTGCAACAAAGAAGATAAAATTTACCTTCTGTTAACAACATTGTGTACGTGACAGAGCCACTGAGAAAACTCGTCATGAGATCCAGCCATTACAGGGTTCGCTCTAAAAAGCATGCATGAAGATATATTTATTCAGTAAAGATTAAGAAAAAGACAACTAATATCAGAGAAACTTGAAGCAAACTACATCTACACACACACATACGCATACACATAAAGGAAGATTTCCAACCCGAAATTTTGACCATATCAAGTGAGAACAATCCAACATTATGTAATGTTGTAAATAAACAGGGAAATGGTAAAAACAACCTCTAGCCTTAATCACTTTCCTCCCAAATGAATGATAACTATATAATCGAACAAACAATTCATTTTTCGATTTAAGAAGGTATTGACTTGGAAATTTCATCATATTTTACTCAGCATTCACAATAAATTCAATTTTTGACTTATAATGTAAATACTAGTGCTAATTCAATTTCAAACCAGGATAGGGGTGTGAAGCTGAATACCTAAGCTGAATACCTTTCTAATCTTACTTGCAAATCCCTTTGATTAAACCATCTAAAAGAAAGGCTAACAAAAGTGGTGGTTGCTAATAATCTTAACATGGTATTGGCCACCAGAAAAAGCAACGTGGAGAAGAGTCGAAGACAAGAAATATACCTCAAAACTTCTTTAAAATGATCTGCACATTCCTTGCAGGGGTACATTCTGGATAATATTGACATCTGCAAGTCAAACACTTGTCATCGATCGATTTAAATAGTTTACAACAACAATAAATCACTTCTACAGTCCAGGTTTAGTTTTCCTTACTATTCTTTTTATGTCATTAAAAGTCTAACCATCAAAGACTAATATGGCAGACACTTATGGTGAAATCAAGGTGAGCAACATTTCAACATCTTTGGATTCAACTCATTTCATTTCTAATCAAACCCATGTCAAGATTATGCTTCATCCGAGCTTTAAACTACAAGATTGAACAAGGAAAATAAGATATAATCCAAGAGTGAGATATTATACCAGCTCTTTTACATCCTTCTTTTGCTGCCTCGTTGGATTTTCAGGATACTGAAAAAAAGTACAACAACCCTCATTCAAAAGACCATCGGTGAAAAATCGTAGGCATTATAACTATCAATAAAAGGAAAGTTAGAAAAACAAAAGCAAAGTTATAAATGAGAAGACTTGGGCAGCAAGAGTGTGAAGAAAAGTCCAAGTAGCTCTTCCAAGTTCTTCTTTAGTCACCGGCGCAGATGGCTTCTGTCAATAAAAATTCAAACAACAAAATGGGTCGGTAATAAGCTTCTAAACTAAAAACGGTAAGCGTCATTTGGAAATTTTATCGAACACATAATGAGCAAGCTACGAGGAATCCCGTGTAGACATCCCACGAGCTTCAAAATCGATACTAAGTAAATGAGCATATCAACGTGAATCTGTTGAGAGGATGCAAGTAATACCTTGATGAGAAGATGCGTTGCCGTGGCAGGGGAGTCGGCGTCTATGGATGATGAAAGAGAGATGAGAGGGTTTATCTTGGTGGGTGATGAACGATGGGCCTGTCTGGTGAAATTGGCGAGGTGGGTTTGGATACAACTCGAGAATCTTTCGACAGTTTGGATCAAAGCTTGGATAGGGTTTGGTTTGTCAGCAGCCATTTTTGCTTGAACGAGAGCGATAAATGGCGGGAAAAAATATGATGTTTGTTTGGCACAGTTTGGATGCTCAGCTAAATGTCACTTTGCGAAAGGCCCAACACGCTCGTTTTCAACTTTTTCATTTTAGAAAGCGATGAAATAACATGAAAATTGTGCAGGCATGGTTAGTGGAAACATTATTATTAAGGAGAATATTATTTTTAAAATTATATTTTTATATTTAGTTCACATAAAAAATTATTATTAGATAATAATTTATAATCAGTAGTAATATTTTTTTTGTTAAAATAGTGGAATGTCATTACCTTCAAATATCTCTTGAAATGATAAATTCTTTAAATATTTAATATTCTTTCATATATTTTGGACACAGTATTTTTATTTTAGGACAAAATGATTTATAATATTTCATTAGATAGTTACTTTAGTTTTTATTTTTTAAAAATTATTTTAGTCTCTAATATTTCATTTTAGAGTAAAAAGACTTTTATTTTAGAGCATTATTTGTTTATTTATTTTTGAATGTTTTCGTGTTTAGTTTATTTAGAGTTCATGATCATTTACATGTTCATAAATGGTGAAAATATAACACTAGTCTTTAAATTCCTTAAGCTTCATTGTTTGAACTTCAAAGTTCAACATGTGTTCAATTTAATTCATATATTCACCAATATTTAAAGTGTAGAAAATAAAAGAAAAATGAGCATCGAGTAAATGAGATTATAAATAAGTCGATAAATGGGCTTTCAAAAAATGAGTTTGTTCGTGAACATAAACGAATTAAATACACTTCTATTTGTGTTTGCTCGATTATTATTTGTGTTTGATTCGTATATTACATGTGTTTGATTCGTTTATTACATGAACATAAAAAGGGACATTCAGATTTTTTCCTTTGAAAAATATATTTTAAGAAAAAAATGTAGATTGAATCAATTTTGGCCCCTCTCAAAAATAAAGCATATGGTCCAGACTCCCTTGTATTGTCCATTTTAATCATCTTCTACAATAATTTAATAGCACAAATATAAGTCTCCCCCACATTCAATGTTAGATTCACTCTATGTGTTAATGTAATAATAAATAGTGGAAGAGTGGCCCTTTAGTTCATTTTCAAACCCATTCATATATTTTTATTAAATCATTGATGATTTTTAATAAGAAACGATGATCCACGATGATTCATTTATTTTGTTTTAAACGATATATTAAAGTAATCAAAATTAATGATAATTGGGGTTTTGTCCTGATTAATCAAGATCGATTCATGTCCCGTACTTAGTTTTTGTAGGTAAGTCTTTCAACAGAAATTTTCTGCTTACACAAATATTCGAACTCGAGACTTACTTAAGCGACATTAAATTGCTTACCACTTAAATCAATATATGTTGATTAAAATAACGATTATTAATAAAAGGTTTAAAATTATTGTTCGATCTACGTATTTAACTTGTTCACATGTCTCTTACCTCAATCACTTACTGATATGAGTTAATTAGATGAAAATCAGTTGTCATTATTATCTATTTACTAGCCTATCAGGTCAGTGAATGTTAAAGTTCATATAAAATCTAACGATACAACCTAAAATCCAGTATTAACAAAGTCTTAAAACGATGAAAAAGGTTGAACAGTAGTTCCAGAGACAGGGATTTGTAAGATTAAAGTTCTATGATCACGAATAGTGAAAATAATATAAAATTAAAACAGAGAATTAATATAAAAAACAAGTCAACTAATAAAGATATGAATTAGAAAACAATATTTCTAGGGTATCGTATTGTTACATTGATCCAGAAGTGCCATTAATGTGGGTTATTTCATTGTCGTAAATATAAAAGGTGAGTCGGAAACTTCCATTGCCGACACTTTTCTCTTACACATTCTTCATATATATATTTTTCCAACAGTTTAATATTTTTTTTAACATTGGGAAGTAATCTAACAAGACAACCGTAAAATCATGTTCTTTTAAGACAGGCACGTGAGAGAATCGAAGAAGGTTTAAGAAAGTGTCTGCATTAGTTAAATATTCATGTTTAAAATTTGTATATAATATATATTCGGATATATAGATATAAAAATATAAAATTTGGATATAATTGAATCTATTAAATGACTTCAGTAGTTTAAAAGAATATATTTCTTCTTTGAAATCTTTAATTTAAACAGTTATGTTTGTGAAGTACATGTATATTATCAGTTATTAAAAAAGATTATAAATAAATATTACATTTTAATCATTGTATACTACTCGAAAAATATCAAATAAAATCTAAACACAAATCAAGTTGTTTGTTTTGTATTTAGGGTTTTACATGCTTTGGGTATAGATTTGAGTGTCCTTGAAGTTCACTTTTATGCGATATTATAAATTAGTCTACCGTAATTATAATATGATATTTGTTTATAATATTTCTTAATCATTGATAATATACACACCATACATATACAATTATTTAAACACGTGAATTATAAATAAAATAACACTCTCTTTAACCGTTATGATCACTTAATAGATTCATAATAATTATAATATATATAAAAAAATTAATGAAACAATCTTAGTGTATATGTATCTCGAAAAGACAGGCGGTCTAATAAATGATAATTTTGACCAATCAAAATCATAATAAAGAGGTGGAACCTCCCTTCCATGGCCAAGAGAAAACAAAACCCAACTGGACAAGAATATTCAACACATTTATCAGCCATGTACTTATATAATTAGTCAAGATTTAGGTCTTGAATTTTTTATTATTTATGTTTGAGTTTTATTATACATAAGTTATAAGTGAATTATTTAATTAATTATATAATTCAGCGTTTTTAATACATATTACTATAAGTAGAAAAATAGCATCAACATGGATTGAATTGAAACATTGGAGGAAGTTTCATCTTGGTGCCAAATTATAATGACATTTTCCAAACAAATTACATTATATATTTTTCATACCAAATCAAAATGAATCATAGATCTAACATAAATTTATTAAATAAGATCATAAATAAATATTATTTTATAATACTTCATATTATTAAAAAAATAAACGCCTTACGGGGGTAACCAATAACCAATGGGGTTCAAGCAAAAACGTTGCAGTGCTGGCCAATGGGAATAAAAAACTTTTTAAAACAAACCTTAGATGCTGTCAACTGTCATGCACCATCTAAACAACATTTCATGCACATGACTATGGGTATTTACATACATACATAGGTGCAAGTTGTCAAACAACTTTTCAGATTCTTTATGCGAGTTTGACAGTCAATCTATGCGTTGAATATTAATTCAAGTATAACGTACAACATATTTAGAACACTATTATGACAAGATAATACACAGGATGGGAAAATAAGAGGTTCGATATCGATAATGTCATCAAATTTAAGTGATAAACATGAACCAGTAACATTAAAAACTTGAAAATGACTGTCAAATGTGTCAAACTCATGCTGATTCAGTAGCAGTATCTTTTATACTGCCGCCATATATAAAGGAAGGTAACCTAAAAATTTAAGCTCCATTAGCTCTAACCACGAACCGGATATCCGAGCTCTGACTCCGTAATCGATGGCCGAATCCTGCATCGAGAGCATAAACGTTCATACAGGTTTTTTGTTTGGGACCTGTGAATGATTGTGCTCTCTGTTTACAGATTAATGGAAGCAAAAAACCTATTTGAAGTTAGTCAACTGCATTTGTTACCAACAACTGCATTTGTTACCAATATGAACAATTTGCCATATGTGATTTCCAGACTTTCATTAGGCTTCCATCTTCCAAATCCTGCTACCGGCATCGGTTTCTTGTGGTCTTTCTAGGACGGCAAGTTTGGCATGTTGTGCTGCTACTATTGCGATCGCTTTCTTTCCCTTTTCATCCCGAGGGAGTTCACAGGTTTCGCTAATGGATCCAGACCTCAAATCACCTGGAGGGATGAAACAATCGATTGAAAGACCTGGTACGTTGAAGGCAACCTCTTCGATTATCCATGCTTCTTCCATCTTTGTTTTCGTATGGCTCATTGCAACTTCCCCGAACCTGAAAAGTGTAACCACAGAACGCCCGGAATGCGCTATCATGATACCTTCGACGGGCCGGTAATCATCGAGATATGAATTGATTGTGGTTTCCCAATAAACAGAATCACCGCCGTTAGATTGGATGCGAGTCAGATGTGAATCTTCAATATGAACTAGAAGTCCGGTTTTCTGACTAAAGTAGCCAAATAAAACATGCCTAATGATCTCAGCAGGGCCTTCGCTCCTTGCCTTCAGCGTCTGCGGATCGGTACAAAGCTTGAGGATGAAACAATCCTCACCATCAATCTTTTTCTCTCCTATGCATCTTGCATCAGCAAACATACTAGCTGTAGTTCTCGGATCAAGACCCTAACCCAAAATACATTATCAGAAAACGAAGAAATGCTAAATGTATAACCGAACAACATCGAAAACCTCACCTGAAGAGCACGACGCAGAGGTCGGACCGGCCCCTTTGCAGTGTGACTTCCGAGCCAAGGCGTGTGCCTCCACACAAGCTTCCCATTACAACCAGCACGAACCTTACTTCCCCCTACCGCGAGTTCGACATACCACATGTCTGGATTCATTTGCCAGAGTACGAATCCACCGGACTCCACGCCTCTTGAGTAATTACGATTCTTAACCGTCCTCGCAGCGGTCTCGTATTCACAAGCTACCATTTTAAGCTTTCCCATTGCATAAGCGTTCCGAATCGAGTTTTGCAACTTCTGCCCACCGGAAGCAGCTGTATACTGCTGCAATATGTACTGAGCAGAGGAAGTTTCCTATAGGCAAAACCATAACAGGAATCGCTATACTAAGTCACGGCATTTTAGCAGCAAAAGAGAATCCACTAGTTATCTATTACAATCCCTAGAAAATTTTACCATAAATTTTCTTGCTAACCAAACAGCTGGAATCAAAATAAACTAAAAGGAGAGAAGAAAAAGAACTAACAATGGGGGTGTCTTTGATGCTCAAATGAGGCAAAGGGTCAGTGAAGCTAACGTGAATCGGAGCCAAAGGAGCTCCCATGACCCCAAGCAACAGCCTTAGATCGGACCGCTGATAACTCATTGAAGCAACGGAAGGTGTCCTCGATAACTGTCCCTTTACCCATTGTCCTAGCCCCGACCCGACCCGCTTCGAGTCTCCGACTTCACCTCCGTCGGGATCGGGGCCTTCCATGAGCGGAGCCAACGCTTCTCCCACGATCCTTAGACTCCCGGATCTCGCGATCAATGGCTCCGGTTGCGCCACGTTGGTTTTCTTCCTCGGTAACAGACCGGACATGGGCGAACTAGGTTTCGCCGGGCTGACGGACCGAGAGCGGGAAGGGGAGAGACCGCGAATCACTTCTTTTTTGAGAGCTGAGAAAAATCCTTGCTTTTTCTCCATAACTACTCGGATTTTTCACTAAAAGATACCCAAAAATTTCCTTTTTTCGATTTGGTAATCTGAGAAAAAAACCAAAAACAGAAGGAAACAAAAAGGTTGGATCAATGGGACGTTTTAGATAGAAAAAAACAGAGCTTTGAAGTTCATTTCATGGAGTTTCTTAGTGAGAAAACGCATAGCACAGAGTGTAAACGTTGCGACTTTTCAGAGAGCGAAATGCAGTTTTATTGTTTATATGGTAAACTTTTATTCCAAAATTAACAATTTTAATAATATTTTGTGAAACACACTTTTCATTTTCAAAGAATTTAGGGATAAAACAAAATTTAATCTTCAACTTTTTATTTTTTTAATTCTGTCCTTTAAACTTTTACGGTCCATGTAAGAGATGGGTACGGTCATTGTTCTGACTCTAAAATTGAAGGTTTTAACTTAATTTTGATCAGTCTCGATGTTTGGAGATGTTCTACCTTTCTGGAAAATATCTTGAATTTTGAAATAAATATTGTTCTTCGATTTAATTCTACACAAATATTTGTTATTGGATAACTTAAAAAAAGTATATAGAGAAGGCACTATAGTAATTATATTTAAATAGATAGAGACATTATAGTAATCATCTTGATTCAGATCGAATCAAAATTTTTTACCTTAAAATCGATTCCGCTCTAACTTCTGTCTCTCTCCTTCACAAAATATGCATAGATCTTCTCTGAATACGAATAAAAGAATTCTAATCCTATAAAATGGATCAGATTAAAACTTGTTAGACTTGAATATTTTAATTATCCCTACACAAAATTCTTTTTATCAACTTAGATCATAAAGTTTAATTTTATTCATTTTACTTACATGATATTATAAGATTATGTCATATCATCACTTAAATACAAATAATAATAAATATTTTTTTGATATTGGGGTGGTTTAATCTTGTAATATTAAGTCATCAAAATGGCTAAAACTTTAAGTTAGACCAAGTTGATAAAGTTGTCAAGTTCCAAAATCAATGTGGTTAAAAAAATTCAAGGATTAATTTGAGATAAATTATAAAGTTTAGGTATTAAGTAATATTTTAACCCGTAATTTATTAATTGAAGAATGTGCCTTTTGAACCATGCAACGTCATCGATGGACTCGGGCTTCGGTCATGGCATTTATTCAGCAAAAAGTTTAGCTGCATTTAGTGACGAGTACAATGTTAAATGTACTCGTGCAGTGGACAAGTATGCGAACAATTTTTGGAATTAGCCAATTGCAACGCGCATGGTCGCCACGTGGCGACATGTTAGAGAGACTAAGTAAAGTGGACTCGAGGAAGGTGTGATGACAACACCTTAAAATTTATCGAATGTTTATCAAAATAATCATTATTTTGTATTATATTTTTTGAAATATTTTGATTTTTAACGTTTTATTTTAGATAAAAAAATCTTCTAGCATTTTATAGAATAATTATTTTGTCTTTTTTTTTTATATATTTTAACATTCAACGTTTTATTTGAAGTTAAAAATGCTCATATTTTACTGTATAAATCGTATTTTAACTATTAATTTTTATCTATAGAGAGTTTTTTATCTCAAAATAAAATATTGAAAGTCAAAATACTTAAAAATATAGAGCTATTTTTGTATTATGCCTTTCACAAAATATAAAGTTCATCTAATTGACCTATAAAGTAGATTTTGGAATAAAAGAAGGAAACCAAAAATTACAAATTACCCATAAAAAATAGAAGCTAGAGATTAAAACAATAGGTTTTGGGACGAAAGTGTAATAAAACGTCTTCGACCTTTTGTCAAATTGGGGATTAAAAAATTTTAGGAATGCAAAATAAAAATTCATCTCAATCGAACACTCAAACATAAAATCACTTTCAAAGTTTTAGACTATACTTAAGATTTTAGACTCTACTTACTACTTATAAGGATAATTTATGAAAATTTATGTTTTGGTCATTATATTTTCATTTTCTTTTTCTTTAGTCCTAAAATTGTATAAAAAAGGGAACAAAGTCCTCTTTAACTGTAGACAACTTTTCTAGTTACTTATAAATCATCATATTTCTTTAATTAATATTGAAAATATCCTACCTTCCTACATAATATTTTTTACCACTTCTTCTAATTTAGGCTGAAAAATAAGATCTATGAAAACACCAAATCTTAGCCGTTAAAACAAATATTACACGATATGTTTGAAAGTTTAGGTATGTTAAATTAACAATAAGCATATGTTGAAAATCATCATTTTCCGTCAATCATCATCATATGTTAAGGGATGGATCGAGAGAGGTTGGGTACAGTCGATCTTCTAAAAATTTCAAATTATCATATATTTTATATATATATTTTTGTTAATATATTTTCGTCCTCAAGAATTTTGTAGGTTCATTCATTCTAAATTTTTAAAAATTCAATCCCTAATATAAAATTGTGTCATTCCCTGCCTATGCTTATAGCACTATAGTTTTAAGGGTAAAATAAAAATTTTCACATACTCTCCCAATAACAGGGGACATTCCCTCGTTTTGTGCATTTTTCTTTTTCTATGAAAGCTTTTCTTTATTCTCTACGAACTATTATGACATTCGAGTCTCTCGTCACTATAATTAATGATTTTCCATATAATTTTAAAGAAGTGAATCACCCACCACCAACATCCAGACCTATCATTTTTTTTAGAGAAAATAATTTTAGTGACCGAAAATGCCTTATAATATACGATTTTAATTAATTTTTTTTGGATTTGTGAAAATGACCAACAAATTCGCAACGCGAACTCCAATTTCGTAACACAGGTTCCAAATTCGCAACACGAATAAGTAAATCGCAACGATAATATGTAAATCGTAACGCGAAAGTCAAAATCTCAACGCGAAAGTCAAAATCGCAACGAGAAAGTCAAATTCGCAACGCTAAAGTCAAATTCGCAGCGTGAATAGGTAATTCGCAATGATAATATGTAAATCGCAACGCGATTTTCCAAAATCGCAATACGAATATGTAAATCGCAACGCGAATATTATTTTCGATTTCGAACACATTATTAATTTCGCAACACAAATGTAAACAGTATAATCTTAAATCATAACCTAAAACCCTTAAGCACAACTCAGTCCCATCTCCATCTCTCACTCTCTACGGCGACATCCGTCCCTATCTCCGAGGAAATCCGTCCACATATCCGGCAACTCCCTCTATCTCCATCTCTCAGAGCCTCCCTCACAACCATTCACAGCTACAAATGGAAAACCAACCACCGAGTGTTAGTTTTTTAATTATTTTTTATTTTAAAATTTTTGTATTATTATTAGATTTTTCATATTTAAATTGGTGATAAATTTACTGGTAATTTCAATAATAGATTAACCATTTCACTTAGATTGCTTATTAAATTCATTTGGTTTTTGTCTTTGTTTTGTCTTTAACCTTGTGAAGTTAGTATTTGCCTTTGTTTTGTCTTTTGGTTGAAGTAATGCAATTCATTCAAGTTTCAATTTGCAGAAGAATAGTTTTTGAAACTTAAATTCACAACACGAAAATGAAAATCGCAACGCGAAAATGAAAATCGCAACGTTGCGAAAATGAAATTTGCGTTGCGATTTTCGTGTTGCAATTTTCATTTTCGCGTTGCGATTTTAAGTTTCAAACTACTCTTCTTCTGCAAATTGAAACTTGAATGAATTGCATTACTTCAAAAAAAAACAAAGACAAATACTAACTTCACAGTGTTGCGAATTTAAGTTTTAAGAATAAACTAATACTCTTTATGTTGTCCTTGAACCTGCACTAAACCTATATGTTATCCTTTTATGTTTATATAAGTGCTTACTTCTGGAATGTTATCTGATGCATTTTGTGAACTATGATAGAATAATGACTTGGGTGAATACCGTGCTATTTTGAAACATATTTGGTTTTGTTTTCACTGTTTAATATCATGTCTGTTTATAGTGTATGTTTTTGGTATATCTAACTTGGTATGTTATTATTGTTTTTGTTAGGAATTTTTTTCGGCTTCATTGACTCTAAGGAATAAATTAAGCCTAGCCACTACAATTACTAAGACACTTACACATGTACAAAGAAAATTGTTTGAGGATACTTGCTTTGGGACATGGCTGAAAGTACAACATGCAGGTGGAGATGCTATGTTGACCCATTTGTTTCTTTAGACTATGACTAACGATCTACTCGAGAGGATACAACGTGGTGATGAAGAGATATGGTTTCATTTTCCACCGGCACCGGCGTATACTTGTTTTGGGCGAGAGGAGTTTTGCTTAATCATTGGTCTACGCTTCGGACACGATGAAGTAGGTCGGTACACTAGTCATATCGCCCGCCCATCATGGTTATATCGGGTTTTTCATGAGCTGGCAAAGGCGAAGCCCAGTTTACACGTCGATGACTTGAAAAGATTACTTCTCCGAGGTGGTTTTACTCAGATGGATGACCTCGATGTTGTCCGAGTATGCCTTTTATTACTTTTGTATGCCGCCTTTTTAGGCAAAGAGGGCAGACAACCTATTTTTGATGACCTAATATTATTGGTAGAGGACATAAATGCATGGAACGTATTTCCGTGGGGTTCATATCTATGGAAAGCTACTTGGAAAAAGTTGTCGTATGCCTTTAAGGACCGAAAAAGCTTGTGTGGCCATGGTTCCAAATACACTTTGGCAAGCTTTATTTGGGCCTTTAAGGTAAGAATTTCTATATAATGTTTTCAAAATTATAATTAATTATTTAACAATTACTAATGTTTGTGTATTATATTGTTTGTAGATTTGGATATTTGAGGTTTTTCCCAGCATGCAGACATATGCAATCAAAAAGTCAAATGATATTCCTAGGGCTATTTCCTGGATAAGGAAGCGGCGGTTGGATTGGGAAGAGTTACTACCATATACAACGATGAATGATGTAAGTTAACACAAATACTACTATATATAAACAACTTATTACTAGTAGACGTTTAACTTTGTTTGAGCTTTTATATTGTTAGGAGGCCAACTATCCATTACAGAGGCTGATAACCCACAGATGCTGAGCTTGCCACTAATTAGTGGCAAGCTAGTAAGCATTTTTTTATGGCATGGATGATGAGCACCCCCCACTTCGAGAGCCATCACCTGATCGACCCGATTCTACAGCTTGACACCAGAGCCATCACCT